AACAGACGTTTATCCCCTTGCAAGCTGCGTTTTTCCCACCAGTGCTGCTTCTCTGGCTGCTGCGGGCATTAACGTTCTATTCTTGGGCATAGAGTTGTGCTTGCTTGGACACAATAGGCACAGGTGTGTTTGCTTTCCTACACCTCCCGCTCTCACAGGCACCTTTCCTTTTGGGTGCCAGCATGTCGGCTTCCCCACTCGCCTTGTCTCAATCCTGCAGTTTGCACGGAAATGTGTTTTAAAGGGCCTGGGCTTGTGGAGGGTGTGCAGGAGGAAGGCGGCATGGCCGCGGGTGGAGGAAGTCCTGGCAGAAACCAGCCACGGAGACCTGCAACCGCTTGTGCATGTCGGGGAAGAAAAGTTAGCCCAGGGTGGATGAACAGCCACTGTCTTCACCCTGAAGGTTTCTGGTAAAACCGATCCGTGGTCTCATGCAAATACATTTACTTGCCTTAACAGAGAAGGAAGCATCCTCCTGCCAAGTCACAGGTTCCAAAGCACTTTGGCATCTCCGGAAAACAAACAACCCTGAGCTTGCTTTTTTTTTCGGGCCAAAGCACAGTTTGCAGCATGACATGCAATCTGAGCATACAAACCAAAGCTACCGTTTGGGTCTGGGCTGCGTTTGGGCTGAAATGATTTGGTTTTGAAGCTGTGGAAAGTTCTGCAGAAGAGGTGGAGGAAAAATAGCGCTTGAGAATTTGGGTGTCTTTGATAGACTGAAGTCAGATACAGTTTACATGTTGCAAAATGACCCAACGGATAAGGATTTTTAAAAATATCAGAAAATCCTCACTTTTTGCCTAGCACTCAGCAACCTGCAGCCACGAGGGTCCTTCCTTCCCGCACCCCCTCCCCAGCTTTACCTTCCCCTTGGCGTGCTCTGCCTCTGCAAGAGACAGTCAGGGTTGCACACAAATAGCTTGATTACAGGTGCATTATTTTATTCTCTTCTACAAACCACGTAGCAAGTGACGTTTGGGCAGCCTGCAGGGATTTGGCTCTCGACACGGGACGCTCCGCTTCTGAGCCGGGCAGCAAGCAACAAGCGGTGCCGGGTGCTTTGCAGTTTATAGCCGTGCCGTGACTTTCCATAGGGAAACTTCTGAGCTCATGTACACGGGGGGTTTGACGGAAGGGGGTTCTGCCTCAAGTCTTCGTCAGTCACCTTGAAAAGTATTTTTTTCCCCTTAGGGTTGCTGTAAAAAAAAACCAAAAAACCACCAAAGAAAAGCTGAGATCTGGCATTGCCTCTCTACAATATTTTTACAAGTGATTTTGTTGGTGCTTCTGTTTTTATGCTAAATTTGATATTTTAAATGGGTCTGATATTTCAGGGAGTCCTGAGAACAAAAAACTAGAAAAACCTGTGTCGGAGGGGACTTCTGGAGTCAACCTCCTGCTCAGCTTAAGAGGAGAGTTATCCTGGGCTTTACCCCAAAACAGATATCTAGAAACAAAAGGCACTATTAGCAGCTTCTGGTTTGCGTTCTCATTTTTGGAAGTTTTTAACAGAATGTTGATTGTTTATTTTCAAGGTTTAGGGGGTGTGTTTGGGGGGAAATTTTTCTTTCCATTCTTTACATTTAGGACTGCAAGAATCGTTCATACAGCTTCCTTTTTTTTTTTTTTTTTGGTAAAGTAAAATCTCACACAGCAAGAAAACTTGTATAGTTTTAGCAAGTTGTACCACTCTCCACAAAGTAGTCGAGATTTCAACCCTAATGACCTTGGTTTTAAAGCCACTCTGAAGGCTTCTTTATACGTCTATGATATATTCTCTACATAGCTTTGAAAATGTGATGTCTGTAGATCTGCTTTCTGCTTCTGATCAAGCCAGTGGATGTTTCAAATAGCAGAAATACAAGCGTACGTGCAGTAGTGGGCACACGGGTGGTGGTTCATTCCAGAGGGTGCAAATTGTCACGATCGCTTATTTGCCTCTGCAACTATCTGACTTTAAAACGTTATCACCTGCTTATACGATCAGAGAGTTTGGATCTAAGGGCATTGTAATGAGAATATGAAATGCCATCACCAAATTTTTCAAACCACTACTCCGCTAAGTTTGATCTTTTTTTTTTTTTTTTAATGAAGAAGAGTACATTTCACTGATGGGAGTTTCCACAAATTGGATATACTTTAAAATATTTGCTCAGATGTTTTCTACAAGAGTTTCTCTCTAAAGTACTAATACTCCAAGACAGGCCCACTATTTTTATATTTTGCCAGAAGACATAGACTCTTACACATAAGTTGGTCATCCTGAATCTTCCAAGGATAGCATAGATTATCCTGCACAAGTAGGACAAAAAAAGAATGATATGATTGCAACACAGTGAACAAGAATTGCTTCTGTGTAATATTGCACGAGGTCATAAGCAATCAGTCTTTATTGAAACAAGCAAGCAGGAAGAGCGATAACATGTTTACTATGCGTAAGCAAAAATTATAATCAATGCTATAATAAATTTATAAACCTCATATAGGATTTAATCCAAGTCTTTTGAAATCTATGGCTCAACGTCTCTTGGTAAGGAACAAAGGCAATAGTTTGGCATCAGAACATAAATCCTGGACTGCAGGATTTTAATTCCTGGGCTGCCAGCCTGGTGTGTATCCTGTGGAAGTATTTTTACATACTAAGCCGCAAACCCTTTGCTTAAAATTTGGTTTTATTCTCTTCTACCAAGGGAGACGACACTTGCAGCGCCAGTTCCAGAAACACCCACCTACGTTTGCCAGAGTCTGTCCTGCATTCGTGCACTTGTTCTGGACTCAGGGTTTCCTCCATCATTTGCTCTTTTACAGGGTTCGGATCAGACCGAATCGGCGCCGCTTCCAGGTTTCCTATGGCACTGCTTTCCTCTCCTTAAAAACAAAAAATATGCATGGCACAGAAGGAATACCTCCTCTAATGCCTATTTGAATATACAGGCATGTCATAACAGACACCGGATTAGGCCCATTGTTTCCCAGTTTCACTCTTGTGAAAAATGTATTTCCACTCACCGCTGTCCTCGCTGAAGGTTTTTGTCCCTAAATTTATTTCTACGGACACAGTATGTTATAGAATAAGATATATGGACATATTTTTGAAAATCAGTCATTAGCAAGGATTTTTGGGGCAAGTCTTTGCCAGCTTTGCACCGAGCGGGCTGGATTCGGCCCCGAGAAGCCGCCCGGCACGTAGCCGCTCGCGCCGCGCAGGTCCCTGCCCTTTATACTTCAGGACTTCCGAGCACTCATGGAGCTGT